ACTAAAAAGAAACAGAAGAAAACACGATAAAATCCAATGAAAAAGCAAGCCAGTCAAGGAAAAATATCGCGTCCTATCGATTGGCGGGAGGCGGGGTGAGTACGGTAATTGCAATGATATCTGCCGCATGCTGCAAGGAAGAATGCCGCGATAGGGGAGAAGTTCCGCTACCCATGATGCCCATCACACGACAATTTCAGGTATCTTTTTCGTTTTGAATAACATTGGTTTTGTTGCAGAATAGTGCGGCTGCCAGGAAGAATCGCGTAAAGAAACGCGAAGTGGAAAATAAAAGTCCTTGGAACCAAAGGATGTTGTATGGGAGGAAAATGTGAGCGAGATTTCACGCCTGTGCAATTACAAAAACAGCAGGCTACACTGAGCGAAATGAGCCAGAAATTGCTTTCGTGGATTTTCATACACGTACACCATCGTGAATCGCCTAGCTTCTACAAAACCTTTGAAATTCGTGGCCTACTCTCCGTGTGGTATACAGTGATGATAATCTTTAAGCCCTTATTGGAACTTATCCAGGACGTTACTCTACCTGAACAACGTTGCACATGCTATCCTCGGGGTCCAGACATTTGTGTGTAGGGAAATTATCAATAGGCTGCGTCTTCAAAACTCGCCCATTTGCAAATTTTTCACTGCGAAAACGCGAAAAATTCAGTAGTGCATGAATTACTTTACCTGGAATTTGGGATCCGTCGTCTGCATGCTGATTTTCCCTGGGAAAGCGAATGCTTTCTTCCCGTAATGCATCACTGATCGATAGTCATAAGGTATACCATAAGTGGTAGCTTCTTGAGACGTGACTTTTTCAAACTGACTCCAGTAATCTGAAAAGAGGCCCGTAATGGTCATACTTTATTTTTTAGACAGGTAATTTTTTATGATTATTTTATTTTTTGGAATTGCACGATTGTGTAAACACCGAATCCCCTTTTCACTACACTGTCTGCAAAGTAGTGCGGCAGTGCGTCGACAGAAATCAAATTTCAAACAAAGTCCTTCACAAAGGCGGGATTCCAAGGAACTACACAATAAGAAGCATGAAGTCGTCTTCGGCAAGGGGGAGTGGAAGGGGAGAATGACGAGGTCGAAAAGTATGAGGTCGAAAAGCGTTCTGGTAGGGCACAATCAAGCGTGTTTGTATTGGAGATGGTATCATGTGAGTGCCAGACCCACAGTGGACGAGTTTCAACGACGATATAGAGAGTGCGCCATCTCGAGGGACTCCCAAGTAGAACTTCAAACAACTTCTTATAACCCATGGCGAAGATGGAAGGCAGTTTTGGAAAACCCCAGTTGGATGTAGTCAGCTCTTTGCGCCAGTGGAGCAAGTGAAATCTCGGCCGAACACCCCTTTCATGCCATTGCCATCATGGTGATCTTCCACTACTTTCGAAAAGTATTGTTTCCGCAAAATAGGCGATGATCTGCTTCACATCAACACGTTCGCTTTACAACTCGAAAACGCCTTCATTAAATCATTGTGAACTGTGCCTTTAAGTGAAAGCTGATCACTTTTTACTTGTTCATTTTGTTAATTTGTTTGTGCGCACAACACGCTGAGCGCAGGAAGTGTAGGAACTTCCATTCTTTTCTCTAAGCTTGAAGCCTACCATTGAAGAGTCCAGTTCGACTTTTAGGTTAAGAAAAATGCGGTATTTTCGAAAAGTCTATTATAATAACAGGCGATGAGGGTTCGGAACAGAACTGAGTCATCATCAGAAGGTTTAGATCAAGGAAACAGTGCTACCAACTGTAAGCGTGTCATTTTTTCGACAGTTTATGGCAGCTCTGCCTTGAGTAGCTCCGATGTGAGACTCTCGACGGTGCAGAAGCCTTGCTGTTCTTGTATACAAATTCGCTTGCAGATGACCCGATCGTTCAAGCGAATGAAAATGCGACCAATGTATCAGGTTAATGCATAAGTTCTTTCTCCGTGTTTGACCCTTCCGTATTTCG